CATCCGGAGCGCCGCCATGGAAGAAGGATCCTCACACCCTCTTCTAGGCTTTGGAGCACTTGTCTTATCTCCCTTTTAAGCAAACCGTGTCACTCCTTGCGAAGATCAAAGATTCCCTTCCTTCGCGGCTGCTCGCACAGACTGATTCAGGTTGAGCCAGGCTCTTGGAGGCGTGTGCACGTCGTTTACAAGACTGATGCATCGATGGACACGCCTTCTTCGTTGCCACTATCTACAAACAGTATGCGTTTTACGTAATCGAAACGTCAAGAAAGTTCACCTGATCTTAATGTCACATTGTCAAGATACAGCAGGCCCGTGTCATCATATTTCTGGACCATGGGTCATGTGTCTATTCGTGCGTTGAGTCGTAGTGTAGAGTGCTCTTAGAGCAGCGCCTAGTGCTCTAACACGGCACTGCTCGGGCACGTATTCTGGTCCCTAGTACCATCTTCTCGGGGGTTGAAACTCATCAATTCGATACTGTATTGGCTCATTCTCCCAGTATCCAACCTCCGAACGTTCGAACAGCGGCCGGCCTCGTCATCGCAGTGTAATGGCATGACTGGGTGGGTAAAGCTCTCCCTCCATCTCATAGTATGCCTGGTATGATAGCCTTCCTGCTTCCTATCTTCTCCTTTCCAAATCTCTCGATATACCACTGCTTGCCATCAAGGGCCCTCGGCAACATGGTGGCCACCTCATTGATTAAGAACGTCCTCGCAGGCACACAGGCCATTCCCCCAATCATCCAGAATCCACCCCACTCAATCCATTCACATAGATAATGCGGAAACAACACCAAACGAAAGAGGCCATTCTCAGGGACCATGTACACCTTCTCGACACCTTTCCCGTCACCCTTCTCGCCCCGAGCCTTCTGCTTTCTCTCCTGATTCCGCGCTGCAGCCCTCCTGATCTCGCGCAACTCATCGTCGTGATACATGTTGCCCAGGAGACCAACTGCAAAGATCATTAGGCCGAGTTCAAGTCTCATTGCAGCACCGGTCCATTCGTCCTGTGTCGTGGGGCCGTATCCGCCGAGCCAGCCTCCAATGCACGTGGCATTAATCAGTTGGAAACTAAGCGCCGAAGCCCAGACTGAAATGTGGATAGGTGACATTGAGGGATTCAGAAACAGTGGGGAGATGAGGGCGCGGTAGATGTAGTGAATCGCCTTAGGAACGCAAGGAGTAAGCAACACATCAAACACACAGTATCAATGTCTTCAAGGCAGCGAGGGGGTACTCACGAATAAACTAGCCATAGTCCAATTGGTGAATGGAAGACTCTCAATCCCCTCCTGCTTCGGCAGAGCGTACATCAAGTACAAAAGGGTGATGAAGCCAGGCGCCTCCATAGTGGCCCACCCAATCTTGCCGGGGACATTGAAGGAAGATGCGGTCGAGGTCTTGCCCATGGGATAGTACTTGACGAGCCATTGGAACAAGGTGAACTGCGTAGCTTGGATTAGTGAAAGACATTCGACCTTTGCGGATGGCATAACGTACGATCGGGAAGAACTGCCAGAGGAATGTGACGAGCTCCCAATGCTCGCGGGAGGGCGGACACCAAGTTGGGATGATAATGATCGGCATGGTTATTACTGTCGATTCTTTTGTTTCATACCAGCCGTGTACGCGAAGAGACTAAAAATTGTGTAGGGAGCCAATGAAGTAGCAGTGGCTTGAGGACTAATAGTTTGAAAAGGCATGAAGGATGCGATGAATCCATCATCACCTCAGCTGGTGTCAGCAATATCCCTGCAAAGGCGATAACAGATTAGGGTTAGAATAACCGGCTGATCCTCTTCGAGTCCGAAGCGAATGAAAAGGCCGAGGAAGCACGAAATTTGTGGGGCGCTAACAAACAGACACATAGCCTCACTCGGTCTCAACTTCACACATCTCGCCGAATCTCACCTCGAATCTCTCCACTCTCATTTCTCAACTTTCACCTCTCACACCTTCTTATTACAAACAGTTTTCCTTTATCTCTTCATCACCATTCTGATAACCATTCTAATTCAATCTTCACTCTACATTCCCTCTTCCAATCCTTCAAACCTCGTCTGCTCCATTTCAAGTTGTTTCGAAAGCTGACCGCCAAAATGGTTCAATCGTAAGCAAAGATCCACCCTTTGTACTCGGAGACACCTGCTCAAGATCCCTTCAGCTCCGTTCTTGGATTCCCTCGCATGGGAGTCAATCGAGACCTCAAGAAAGCCACAGAGTCATATTGGGGTGGTAAGATATCACAAAAAGAGCTTCTCGCCGAAGGAAAGCGTCTCCGTGGAGAGCACTGGAAGATACAGAAAGAGGCCGGCATCAACATCATTCCCAGCAATGACTTCTCATTCTACGACCATGTCTTGGACCACATCCAGCTATTCGGGGTGAGTTGGCATCGTCTGTGCGCAGTGTGCGTGAATGGGGTTTGATGGCTGATTGGAGTCGCAGGCCATACCCGAAAAGTACTCTAAACACAATCTGGACCCAATCGATGAGTTCTTCGCTATGGGTAGAGGCCTGCAGAGCCCTCAGACACCCGAAGCTGCCGCAGTCGATGTTCCCAGTTTGGTCCGTTGAATTCCATCCTGATCACGATTCTAGAAACTTGCTTACAGTCGTACAGGAGATGGTAAAATGGTTCGACTCGAATTATCATTACGTCAAGCCCACATTCCAAGATGGACAAAACTTCAAGCTTTCATCAAACCCCAAGCCTGTAGCGGAGTTCCTTGAGGCCAAAGAAGCAGGCATCATCACACGTCCTGTCCTCGTTGGCCCAGTGACATTCCTTGCCATTGGCAAAGCAGACCGCGACCAGAACGTTGTACCAATCAGTCTACTACACAAGCTACTCCCACTCTATGAGGAGATATTGGTCAAGCTGAAAGAAGCTGGTGCTGAATCGGTCCAAATCGATGAGCCCTGCCTTGTCCTCGACTTGCCTCCAAAGGTAAGGAATGCTTTCAAGCCAGCTTATGAAAAATTGTCAAGCCTTGGCGGCAAGATCCCAGAACTAGTGGTTGCTACTTACTTTGGCGACATTGTTCACAACTACGATGTCCTCCCATCATTCTCTAGTCTGCATGGCCTTCACATCGACCTTGCTCGAAACCCAGAACAGCTCGAGACTGTCATCGGCGCTCTTGGCGAAAAGCAGTTACTGTCTGTCGGAGTAGTTGATGGTCGTAACATTTGGAAAGCCAACTTCAAGAAAGCTATTGAGACCGTCGAGACGGTAGTGCAGAAGCTTGGCAAAGATCGTGTCATCGTCGCCAGCTCGAGTTCATTGCTCCATACACCCCATACGCTTGCGAGTGAGAAGAAGTTGGATGAGGATGTCAAAGACTGGTTTAGCTTTGCAGTCGAGAAGACTAAGGAGCTGGCCATCATTGCAAAGGCCGTGACTGATGGTCCTGCCAGCGTACGCGAGGAATTGGAAGCCAATGCCAAATCCATGGAAGCCAAAGCGACCTCAAAGCGTACGAACGACCCCAAGGTCAAGGAACGCCAGTCAAAAATCACCGAAGAGATGTTCAACAGAAAGTCACCATTCCCAATACGCATTGCCCAGCAGCAGGAGAAGCTCAACCTTCCCCTGTTCCCTACTACCACGATTGGCTCCTTCCCTCAAACCAAGGAGATCCGAATCCAAAGGAACAAGTTGACCAAAAGCGAGATCTCCGAGGAGGAGTATGAGAAATTTATCGAGAGGGAGATAGAAGATGTCGTGAAGATCCAAGAAGAGCTCGGCCTCGACGTCTACGTGCACGGTGAGCCAGAGCGCAATGATATGGTCCAATACTTCGGCGAACGTCTTACTGGATACGTCTTCACCACCCACGGTTGGGTGCAGAGCTACGGCTCTCGCTGCGTACGGCCTCCGATCATTGTTGGCGATATATCCCGTCCTGCGCCTATGACCGTTAAAGAGTCGAAATATGCGGCCTCCATCTCAAAGAAACCCATGAAGGGCATGCTCACTGGCCCTATCACCTGTCTGAGATGGTCATACCCTCGCAACGATATCCATCAGTCAGTACAAGCCGAGCAATTGGCTCTTGCCCTGCGTGATGAAGTGGTTGACCTCGAATCTGCTGGAGTCTACGTCATCCAGGTCGATGAGCCTGCCCTTCGTGAGGGTCTGCCTCTCCGCCAAGGTCTGGAGCGTGACAATTACCTCTCATGGGCCGTCAAGTCCTTCCGCCTCTCCGTCGCTGGAGTGCAAGATTCCACCCAGATCCACTCCCACTTCTGCTATTCCGAGTTTCAAGACTTTTTCAAAGCCATTGCAGACTTGGACGCAGATGTGCTCAGTATCGAAAACAGCAAGAGCGATGCAAAGCTCTTAAAAGTGTTCGTCGACGAAGCCTACCCCAGGCACATTGGCCCTGGTGTCTACGACATTCACTCTCCTCGTATCCCCAGCGAAGATGAGATCAAGGATAGGATCGAGGAAATGCTACAATACCTTAAGCCAGATCAACTCTGGGTTGACCCTGATTGCGGTCTGAAGACCCGTCAATGGAAGGAGACCAAAGCTGCTTTGACCAACATGGTCAACGCTGCCAAGTTCTACCGGCAGAAGTATTCAAAGTCCTCTTAGGGCTTGATGCGTTATGACTAAATGTTCAACAACATGACTCGATGAATTTATTGCGGTTATCTTAATGACCCTGATCTCAACGATCACACAATTGGCGTTGCCCGCTGGCGACCTTCAAAAAGCGATATAGACCTGCAGCTTTCAACATGGCATAGCGGATCTACATTTTTTGATACCTTCTCAACCGGGTATCCTGCGGTAAAAAAAACAGTGCGGTGTTTGGAGCCGCTTTCAACCTGGCATAGCGGATGTACATTTTGATACCCTCTCAACCAGGTGTCGTAACAAACAGTGCGGTCTTCAGAACTGCAACTAGATAATCACAATTGAAGTGACATTTATGGGACCCAAATGTTTTCATTTCTTCCGTCAGACCTCTAACCGGCATGAAGGGGTTTCGATGTTCGCTCGGTATCAAGAAGAGTTGCGACTTCCGTAATTCTGTGTATTCCTGGTCCAGTACCATGATTCTAATTCTTCCGAAAAGAAGAAGGAGCAGAGACACGGCAACCAGGAATTCTTTACTCCTCTTTCTTCTATTAGACACGAAATCAGCATTGCAAGCCAATCCATATCAGCATTGACTATATTGCAAAGCCTTACAGTAATAATTTTGAAAGTTTCTTCATCACTGCTGTATTCCCCTCTCTCTGTATCACTGCCGCTCACATCCATCCATGGCCCCTTTCAATTGTTGTAGCTTCCGGCGGGCCGTATCCCCAGAGCCTCAACCGGCCGTACTGACTGACATCTCGCGGACAGGAGAAAGATTCGCCTTATCAAGTCATACTCCGTCGCGAGCCGCGAGTCACGAGAATGTCTCAAATGCTCAACCCATTGCCGAAAGTCTTGCTTCAGCTACCAAAAACGACGTTGCCCATGAATTTTCCACAGCATCGGGAAATGACATGGCTCCAGCACATGAGACGGAATCAGGTGTTCATCGTAGGGGTAGTAATCGCCGGCTTCACGACGTTGCAAGCAAGGTTCGAAAAAGGATGTCACGCGATTCTGGCATGTCCAAGCGGAGTTCAAAGACGAGGCTGAATAGCAGCCTCAGCGAAGATGGATATCAACGGCGGGAAGAGCTGAAGCGTGCTCTTCATCAAAGGGTGCAAGAGGATATCGATGAAGGCAGCAAGATCAGTGACGGTAGCTACGATGAAGATGCAGTGCCGATCAAGACTCCTAAAGGCACTTGGGGTCGACATGAAGGCTCTATTCAAATCAGTCCAAAACACCTCAGCCACGCCATTAGAAGGTCAGAGTCTCCGTCAGCATATGCCGAGCTGGACCCGCGAACTCTGTCTCAAGTCTATGCGCCCAAGAACACCGCTGTGGCCCTTTCTCGAATGTTGGTCCAGAGAGGCAGCAACCTGGCAAGGGAGTCCGAGGAACAGGCCGTCGACTCAAAAGTCGAGAACGCCCGGAGAGCAAGTATTACGCAGAAGTACAACTTTCGTGACGACGATAGTCCCATACGAGTGCTAAAGACTCGATCACATTCACCCCTAGGTCGGTCGAATACTATCTTACATGTGCCATCTTCAACCAAGGCTTTGCAGATTGACGTGGCGAATCCCGAGTTCTTGAACACGCCTGGAGTATCATCAGCGCCAGATCTGCCGCCAATGTATCTCAAGACAGTCCGCGACTCAGCGGCCGGAGGAGACTGGCGGCTTTCGTTTGCCGATATTCGCCAAGGTGCTTCGTCAAACGAAGCGAACGAGACACACAGAAGCACCTTAGGTTCTGCGAGACTTCCAGGAGTCTACGACACCAGGATACGACCGGCTAGCGAGCAATTGCTTCACGGGACCTCAGGGCTATGGGGGCATCCAGTCCATTCCAAGCACAGCAATACCCACTCCACTACCGACACCCACTCCAGCTCCCCAAATGGACATTGTTGCAGCCCTGGTAGCGAGGAGATGTCGTTCGGGGGTACGGATGGAAAAGGTTACAGCCCACCAACGTCTGAAGAAGCTGGATCTCTCGCCAGACAAAGGGGTCGCTCAGAAGGAAATGACCCTGTCCATCTCTTCAACATGCACATACCTCAACGCCTGGCATCTAGGCCTCTGCTGCCTTCCGTCTCTTTACCTCAATTGGAGCATCCCAGGCGGGATCGGAGTTATACGAGTGGCAGTAGCTCACGAATGTTTTCTGTTATACCTCGAAGTCAAGTATCGAGCTCGGCGTCCAGCGGTGGTAAGCAATTCAAGACTCCAGCAACTCACCCCACGTCTTCCTCGGTCTACAGTTCGGGAAGTTTGCCCCCCAGCCCACCAGACTCAAGGCTGCATTTCCACAGCCTCTCAGACAGATTGTATCCACTCGAGGTGTTCCAGTCCAGCGAAGAAATCATAAGTGTTCCTGCATCGAGGCCCAAGTCAGTCGATCTAGACAACCTTGAACGACGCACAGTAGAGACAAGCTATCACTCGAGCAATGAAAGCCTGATGAACCGCGAGCTTGCGGCAGCCGAGACACGCATCTCCCCAATGCCGAGGGCAAACACACTACCCAAAAACAGTCGGTTTAGAGAGGACTTGGAGCGGATCTCTGCCGAGTTGGCCCTCACAAACCCTCCACGACGCCGAGTCAGCAACCTTGATGGTGCTAGATCTCCTACTAAAGAAGATGCCACATCTATATGGGAGAGGGCGCTTCGGGAACATTCGCAGGAAGACAAAGCTATTTCGCACACCAGGATTGGAAGTACGTCCCCAGATTCGGTTGAGCCAAGACAGCTTGACCCCAAGACAGTAGTCTCAATTGAACAAAAGGCTCGGAAACGTTCATCCTTTCTGCGTACACAGGACCGCCGAGTACCAGAACCATTGGAAGGAGCGCATCTGCAAGCACATTTGGGCGCATACGCTCTGCCTCCAAGGAGAGCAAATACTCGCAAAAGGCCCACGCGCGAAGGTTTTAAGAAATCTCCCTCTACGATTCGAGCATCATCGTGGGCACGCTACCCATCCCACACTCGCCCTGAGCGGTCTACATCTCCGGCTGGAGAATCAGACCAAGTGTATTCCCGTGACTTCGCCATTACCCCGCCAGGCACTGAGCCTAAAGTCTCTTCAGAACACGGATCCTCTCCCTTGAGCAACGGCAAGAAATGGAAGACAAACCGTATGACTTTCGGCAAACAATTACTTTCGACCATAAGCAACCTCTACAAAAGCCAGAGCCAGGAGTTGCAGAGACGCCTTGCCGATGAGGCTCGTGGCAACCGCTCGAGTATTTCCGAGGGTGGTGGGTTGGAGTATCCCGAATTAGAAATGCTGGGTAGTATCTCGCCACCAATGCCGTCGCCCGATATTACCACAAAGCTCCAGTTGGAAGATCACGTCAGAAAGGCAAGTGAGCCGCCGAGCGACACGCAGACGGGCGGTCCTCAGTCAGGCCAAGTATCGAGAAAACAGTCGCAGGACTGGGCGAGGGAATACCAGGATTGTATCCAGCCTCAATCGGGACGACCAATTGAGCTTTACATCCACCCCGAAAGCCCACCTTTTAATCCAAGGGACTATGACACTAAATGGCCAACGGAGTTTTCTGACGAAGCCTTGGAAGAAGCGTCTGTTCCACCCCGCAGGGCCAGTGGAACCATTGGTCCCAATGATACGCCGGCTGAGGGATCGGGCTCTCCTGATGTGAAAGCTGGTACGCTGGACGAGTGGAAAGCGAGGGAAAGGATCAGGTTGCTAGGCCTTGAGACCGGAAGGGGCGTCCGGGAATAGGAGCCGGATGAGTCGGTCCAACGTGAGGGAGGTGTCGTTCTAAAGTTTCCGGGCATTCTCCGTCGTTGAATCACTTCCCCGTCGTTGAATCACTTCCCCGTCGTTGAATCACTTCCCACCAGCGTCGGTAGCTGTATCTTGTATCGTCACGCGCATAGCATATTTCGATAGCATCATGAATAAATTCATCATTTCAGTGGAAGCATACTTCGATAACATCATGAATGGATTCATCATTTCATCCGAAGCATACCGCGACGCTGTACGGATGTCGTTTCAGTGGAAGCATACTTCGATAGGATCATGAATGGATTCTCATTTCAGTGGAAGCATACAGGTACTTCGATAGCATCATGAATAAATTCATCATTTCAGTGGAAGCATACTTCGATAACATCATGAATGGATACATCATTTCAGTGGAAGCATACCGCGACGCTGTACGAATGTCATTTCAGTGGAAGCATACTTCGATAGTATTATAAGTGGATTCATTATTTCAGTGGAAGCATACTTCGATAGCATCATGAATGGATTCATCGTTTCAGTGGAAGTATCCCGCGACGCTGTACGAATGTCATTTCAGTGGAAGCATACTTGGATAGGATCATGAATAGATTCATCGTTTTATTAGAAGCATAGATACTTTGATAGTATCATAAATGGATTTATCATTTCAGTGAAAGTATACCGCGACGCCGTACGGATTGGAAATATCCGAGTCGCATACGAGCAGAGTGGACTTTGTCCGCCGGGGAAACGAAAGTGCGATAATCGTATGGGAACACGCTACACTTTGTATGGGCCACCTTAATGCCAAGGCCACCACAATACGAAATTTTTCAATAATTTAAACCATCCATCCCCCACCTATCTACCACAACCACAACTATATCTAACTTATATATCGTTATTTAGAAATATATTTAGAAGATCTTAGCTATTATTATCTTCGAAATAAAGTTTAAAGTTACTCGATTAATTATTAAATTTAACATACTTTACGATTAGCTTCTAAATCGCTATAATAGAATCTCCCTTAAAGATAACTACTCTTATACGCTTATAGATTATAAAAAATAGACTCTTTATTAATATATATAATAGCTCGATAAATTAGAAATATCTTATCGTCGTTTAATACTTAAAAAAGCTATAAACTCTATACTTCGCGAGCGTCTTAGCCTTATTAAATATATAAATAATTATTAGTCTACGCGATTTTTAAGGCGTAATTCTTAGTATAAGATATATAAATAAAAGTTTTTAATATTTTAATAAAAGAATATATATAAATTAGAAGCTATCTAGAATTAGTTTTAATATTTTTAAAATATTTATTAAGAGTTTAAAGTATAAATAAAGAATATTTATAACTTTAATAAAATTAGATTTTAAATTAAGATAGATAAGAGTTAATAAATTATTATAAAAGAAAGAGAACTTTTACTTTATTAAACGAATATAAATAATAGAGAGTATATTACGTTAATCGAGTATATTAATAACTTAAATTATACGCTTCCCTTAATAATACTAATTTTAGCTAAAAAATAATATCTTAATAATTGATTTTAAGAGAGCCTTAATCTCGATACTTTATAAGATATTAGTAATTTCGAATATATAAACGATAATTTATATAAGATTTAGATTAAGTATTTCGATTATTATACGAAGAGAAGATATATAAAAATATATAGATTATTATTATTTAATAACTATAGTAATTATCTTATAAGAGAAGTATTTAAATATATAAAGAATAATAATAATATTTTATTCTATTTACTTCTATACTCTTTATATCTATATTAGTTATTAAATATAGATATCTTTTAGCTATTTAAATATTAATATATCGAGATAATTAATATTATAATACGTTAAGCTAGCGATAATTATTTAAAACTCGATTTTTTAACTAATTTTTAAGTAATTTATAATCGAATCTTTATTAGATTAATTATTATATTTAAATAGCGAGAAATAAATCTTTTTCTCTATAATTCTACTATTATTTTAAATTATTTAGCTAGATTTTAATAGAGAAACTCTTTATTAAGAGATGAGATTTTAGAGTAAGAAATATCTAATCTTAAAGACTAGTTAATATTATATACTTATTATTAAATTATATAATATAAGAAGAAATTATAAAATATATATTTAATCGATTAATTGCTTAATAGATATATTTGTAAAATAGAAGCGAAGATACTTTTAGATCTTCTTATTAAGCGAGAATTAGATATTATTTAATAGACTATATCTATAAATCTAAAAAGTTTCTTTTCGTATAATTTTCGCCGGATTTATACTATAAGTATAATTTAATATAATTTAATCTATTAAGTAGACTTTATTTATATTTAATTCTTTTTATTAGTTTAGTAATTAAATATAGTAAACTTCGCGTTTAATAAGCTAAGATAATATTTATTCGAGTTAATTAGATTTTAAAGCGACTATAAGCTATTAATTTAATAGTATATATCTAAAAATTCGAGGGACTATATATAAGATAGATTTTTTAGATTATTCGAGTTAAATAATATTATTAATAATAATAATATTTATTAAAAGTTTAATTCGACTAATTAAATATATATTAAGAAGATTTTCGAGATTATTTAAGTTAAATAATATTATTAATTAAAAAAATATTTAAAAAAATTCTAGATTAACTAATTTCGCTAATAATATTAATATTTATAGCGTATTCGAATTAAACGATATTATCGATTATAACGACGTCTCTAAAGTATTTAATTCGAATTAGATTTAATATCTCTAGATATCTAATAAAAGTTATCGATTTAAGATTTATCGCGATATCTTATCGCAATATTAATAATATTTATAATCTTTAAGATATAGATTCTTAAATAATTAAAATTTTAAGCGCTATAGCGGTGCTTAATTCTTTATTAATTCTTATTTAATTCGCCTAGCAGATAAAGAGATTAATCCTCTCTATTCTATTTACTACGCTATATATTCTTTATATTATTCCTCTCTATTTAATATAACTTTATTAATCTATAAATACTTATTCTCTTTATAGACTATCTCTTCTCTTATCCGCTATAATAAAGCTATAGATAATATATTAAAGTTTAATTTTTTTTATTTATCCTCTCTACTTATCAAGACGCGAAGTATTTATATTTCGAGTTTAGAGAGATTTAAGTTCTAGTTATTATTTATTAAACCGGTTCCTTTCTATTTAATTATTTTATATATTAATTATTCCTTAATAACCCGCGAGATTCCCTTATTATCTTCGATTAGATTTAAATTTAATCTCTTAAATAATTTAGTATTAGCGAACCTTAGTATAATTTTTCTTAAGATATTTACGAAGTTTAATTTCTCGATAATATTATTTAGCGAATTCTTATATAAGTTATTTAATTTAGAGGGTTTTTATATCTTTCTTATTAATCTAAGATATATCTTTAAAATATATTATCGTAATATATGGTATATAATAAGTCTTTTCTATTATTTTATATCTCTCTAGAACTTCTTAATATACTCGTATATTTCTAAAAAGTATTATGATTATATAAGTAGTAAAATAATAGTAAAGAGCTTATCTTCGACTTTCTTACTATCTTATCTTTTAATATAAAAATATTTAGAATTATAATTCTTTAGATTATAATAAAAGGCGGTTATTATAAGAACTATAATATTATTAAATAAGAATAATTAAAGATATTTACTTCTTTACTTAAATTCGAGAGATACTCTCTTATTATAAAAGAAAATTTTATATAATAATATAACTATTAATTAGAATAAGAAGTATCTCTTATTTTAGAGACTATTAGCTAAAAAAGTCGATTAATCTAAGTTTTATAAAATATACTATATTCTATTTATTTTATAAATCTTAATATATAAATTAAAGATCGACTAATAAGTCGCTAACTATCGTCTTTAAATCTTCGAGCGATAACGTTATATAGACCTTAAGATAAGATTAAATAATATCTCGAATTTTCTTTATTAGAGTTAAACGAAAATCGTTTATATAATCGAAAAGTTATATTCTTATTAGAAAGAGCTTAAAGTATTAATAATAATAATTAATTAAGAATATTAATATCTTTCTCGCCTTAAAACTTATAAATTAATTATTAATATTTCGTATAGATCGAGTATTTTTATAGAGTTATTATCTCTAATCTCTTTATATTTTAATTATTATTTAATTAAATATATTAATATAATACTTTAATTAAAGACTTAGCTCTTAAAGATTTAGATATTTAAAATTTTCGTTAATTATAATTATTATAAGTAAGATAACTCTTATTATCTCGAATATATTAAGATACTCTTTCTTAATATTATAATCGCGCTCTTCTCATTATATTAAATTATCTTAAAGCGCGATCTAACGATTATCTTTATTTAAGTTATCTTATAAAGTATAATCTATATATCTTTCTTTATTTTAATCTATCGATAATATATAATTCGATATTATTAAAAATACTAATAAAGCTCTAAATTCTCTTATTTTATTTAATAAGCGTATTAGCGAGAGGCTTAAATAAGCTATATATTAATAACGCGGCTTCGATATAATAGCGCTTAACGACTCTATTTAATATAATACTTTTTAATATCGAATTATCTATAGCGATTTAGTTATTATTCTACTATATTTAAAATATATACTTATTCTTATATCGAAGCTTTATATAAAATATCTTAACTTTATTATTATAAAGGCGGCTTCTTTTAACGAATTATTTTTTATCTTAACTTAATATATATTTATTAATCTAGATATTTAGTTATATAGTATATTCTTATTTCGCTTTATTAATTCTAATTCTTCGTCGCTAATAAGAATTATTTTAAATTCTATAATTTATATTAGCTAGTTTATACTAATATTACTTAATTTTAAAACTAATTAATTAATAATTAATATTATTATTTTTTATTCTAGATTTAATAATCTTAATACTCAATTAAGA